ACGATAACCCCAAAATCATATATATATATATATATATATATATATATATATATATATATATATATATATATATATATATATATATATATTACTACTTAAAACTCACTTGATTAATCCTGTTGTTTGATTCTCTTTTAATTGAGCAATCTTTAGAAAAGTGTTTGCTTCCTTCAAAAATGAACTTCATGTGTAGGGGAGAAAATTTGCTACTTTGTTGCTTCAACTTTTTTAAGCATAGTTCTTAGATCTAAAATAGCTATGAGATGTGAAAACGAAAAATGTTAGATCTAAGTCTCACAAAATTAATACACAAAGACATAGAGAAAGAAGTGAGAGAGGTGGTGACTAGAGTTTGAGGAAGAGGGAAGAAATTGTTTCATACATTATATTTAAGCTTTTAAAAAAAAAATTAATCTTACAATAATATAAAATTAAATATTACATGTCATTTAATGTAGAATAAGTTGGATCAAATTTGACAAAATTTATCAGATAGAACTAATGTGACTAATAGAATGACTTTTAAAAAACTTAAAACAAACATTTATTAAATAAAAGAGTAAAATAAGATATTAAATTAAGTTAAAGAATCTAATAATTCATTAAACCAATAATTATCTTGTAAGAGTGGACCCTCCTTTTCTAGGGTAAAGCTATTAGGTATGCTTATGTTCCTCCCTCTTGATATTTATACTTTGGAGGATTTTGCATAGTAAGGTGCCAACTGACCAAAATCTTGATCACAAGGGTTACACTATTGTTTTTGTGTGTAGCCTATGTGGGAATTCATATGAATATACTCATATCTTTATATAGTGTTTTTTTTGCTAGAAGTTTTGGCAGTGGTTTGGTACCCTTATTTACAATCGTTTTTTGTATTTCCTCTTTTGTCAATGTTATATCGTTGTTACACAATGGTTGGAGGGTTCAATGTAAGGATTTAATTTGATAATTTATCAGTAACATTATTTTGGGAATTTGACATTGCAGGAATCAAGAGAGGTTTCATAATGAAAGTGTTTTCTTGCAAAGTGCTTTACACTTAATTATCTCTTCGTAATTTAGATCAAGCGAGAAACCTTAAAAAAATTACATTTAACTACATTATCCACTTCTCTATTCTTAATACTTCTATTATAATAGGTCATCCAAGAACAACTCCCATTATTAAGGAGGTAACTAGGAGTAGATTGATTTGTGGTTGGATTAAAGCAAACTCTCATAGGTTGAATAGGAGAAACTCTAGTTTTGTTGGTGTTGATGGCATATTTTAGGACAACAATGCAACAATTAGGAATTGTTTTTCTTCTTTCTTTGGGCAACATTTCTTCAATTCATATTGAATTCTTGATCATTGTACTAGTTATTGAAATCTCTCATTAAACAGGTTGAAATAATCTTTAATTGGAGTGCAATTCTTACATAATAGTTTTTTTTTTAATTTTATTTTTAATGTTGATCTTATTTCTTAGAATATTAAAATAAGAAACAAAATCAAGAATATTGATAATTCTTCAATGAAATGTCATCTTGATCGATGATATCAATCTAGTTAAATTCATTATCTTCTTTTTTTATAGAGTAGTTATGACTCATCTTATATATAAAGTCCATTAGAGAGAGTTTAATGTGATTGTCCCTGTGTTAGCTCCTAATTTCGACGCCCCGTTTAGAAGAAAGGAATTCAAGATAAAGGGCCAAGGGTAAGTTGAGAACGAAAGATTGGTCGAAAGATGTAAAGCAGACAAAAAAAGAAGAAGTCGAAGAACTCACCCAGAAGCTAGGAGTTTGATCGCTTGCTATTGTGGATGGTTCGTCGAAGGATTTGAAATTCAAAAGTTGGAGGGAACGGTTTTGCTTGCTGAAAGACTTAAGAAGACATGTGGCGCCTTATGAGCAGTAAATCCATGCATTTGTGACAAGTGGCGAGAGGAGGTGATGTTGGAGGTTATTAGAAGTTATTTTTTATTACTATAAATAGGATGTCTTAGACATAGCCAAAGTGTGTTGTAATTTACTATTGTACAAATTACTCTTAAAATTACTCCAAGTATCCAAGCGTAGAGAAAGCGAGTATTATAGAGAATGTACGTGATGTAAACACACCATCTTTTAACTTAATGAAATTTACTTTACTTTGCTTTAAACTTTACAAAGTCTTTTATTGTCTTTGCACCTTTCTTTCTTACTTTCTTTCCCTTCTTTTTCTATGCAATTCTTTTCTCTTCGTCCTTAACCCAATTTCTCCTCTCTAAACAAACTTCTTTCTTTCTTTTATTGAAAGCTTTATTTTATCTTTTAAGTTATTCCGTAGTCGAATAGATGTTTCTTTAAGATTCTTACACCCCAATATTGTTCGAGTGTGAAACTTGGATAGATTTTCAAAACAAAAAGCCTTTAGCACATGTCCTAGGATCAATCTGATCGATCCTGTGAGTCACCAAAGTTAGATTTGGAAGATCAGTGGTTATTTTTCGATTTTCAAGGGAAACACCCTGATAAAGGAATGTGGTTGGGCCTACCTTAACTTTACAAAACCGGTTAATAAGGTGAGGAGTGTCGCTCTATATAAATCCTTTGTAAACTGTATCTTTAACCAATGCGAGATTTGAGTTTTTCCCAATACACCCCTTCACGCTCAGCTCTATTAGGCTTAGTGTGTGGATATAAACAGTAGGTGGCCCGAATTATCGATGTATGAGACTTAGTTTTTTCAATACACTCCCTTGCGCCCAACACTTTTTTTTGGCTTTGGTGCGCATATAAAAAAATGGTGGGTGACCCAAATCGATAGGCTCTGATACCATGATAAAAGAATGTGGTTAGGCCTAACTCAACACTACAAAACCTGTTGGTAAGGTGAAGGGTTTCACTCTGTATAAATTCTTTGTAGATTGTATCTTTAACCAATGTGGGACTTGGGTTTTTCTCAAAAGTCCCTAATTTATATGACTTCTTAATGATGATTGAAAATCAAGTTTGATTGCCCAAATCCCAAGCTATAATGCATTCTCTATCATGCCTCAATCAAATATCGCATCGTGTTGGCCATGGATTGATATGAACGACATTAAGGGTGTTCAAAACCGAACCAACCCAATAGAAAACCGCAAACTAAACCAAACTAAATCGAAACCGCAAAAAATTGCATTTGGTTCAGATGTGTTTGAGCCATTTTTTTAACAAATCGCGCAGTTCAATTTGGTTTGCGGTTTGTATTTTGCAAACCGAACTAAACCAAACTAAACCGCATTATGTTATAACTCAAACTTCACATATCACACATCCAACCAAAAACCCAAACCTATTATGCCTTAACCTTACAAATATTCTCTTACCCACACTTAGGATTTTAGTTTCAACCTTCTCAAATCTCTCCTAGTAGTATCACACATTCTTCTCATCTTCTCGTTTTTAAGTTATTGTTTTTTCTTCTAATTACGTTTTTATTGCACATTTCTTCTCTAATATCGCATTTCTTATGTTGTTTCTTTTTCATCTTCTTCGATATCTCCTCTCCTCCATTTTTCTTTTTTCTTTTATATTATTTTATGCTACTATTTTTTATTTTTTATTCCACTTTTGTCTAATTTGATTTTTGTATATTGAATGAGAAGTTTTTGTTTAAATATGATTAGTTTTGTTGTTATATGATAATGTATAAATGAATAAATACAAAGTTATGTTGTTCTTTTTAGGTGTATGTATTGCTCAATAAAAATATTTAAAAAATCAAACTATTCGAACCAACCCAAACCGCATTGGTTTGATTTGATTCAATTCAGTTTTATTTCTAAAAGACAACCGAACCAAACCGCATGCTTAATTCTCTTGTGGTTCAGATGATTTTTAGCATCAAAATCGCCTAAACCGCACCGCAAACACCCCTAAACGACATAGTCCATCAATTATTTAAACCTAGTCATGCTCCTCAATTGGGTTAAGCTTCGTTCGATCCAAACTGAACTAGCCTGTTCAAGATAACTTGTCCCAAGAAATTAGACATATAGTATACACAAAAATCAAACATATACACAACCCTTCAAACCTTCTTAAGACACAATATATATTTACGACATAAGTTAACAAATCACTTTTAAAAAATCATTAAATTTTTACACCTTTCAAATATATGTGGCAAATGGACAATGTTCCCCCCATTTAAACTCGTCTTACAAAAAAACCCCTAAAAGACAAGATTGAACATGACAGACATAATTGAAGGTGTAGACCTAAAATACCCTACTCTATCAAAAATAAAGATGGGATGGAGTAAATTCAAGAACACTACATCTTTTAATTTAAAAATATATAAAAAAATATGTTAATATTTGTGGTGCACAAAACAAATCGGGACAGACACACTAAAAAACACATATATAAAACTTTAATCCGTTCCAAAAAAAAACCAAAACAAATATGTTGGACAAAGTGTCATCCCTACTTTTAAATAGTCCTCTATTACATTCAAAGAATAATGAGAAGTCAAATTTTAGCGCAAACAAAATAGAGAAGTCAGTTTAGTTCATTTCAGTCCTATTATTTTTCAATAAAAAAAAACTACAGGTTCTAGTAAAACATAAACGTGGGCACCAAATTTGACTTTCAACCAGCCGCATTGGTCTGACTATTTTTATTTTATTTTACTTTTAAATCTTTTCTCAAAAGAATAACACTTTCATAACTTACATTATAATGCTTATACCTCCTCAATAGATAAATAAATAAATAAATAAAAATACTAGAAATGGTCCAATTTGTACAGCCAATGTAATTCAGGTTAGGAACAAGAGAAAAAAAAAAAAGAGTACGTTGGGCATGACGCTCACAACAAACTCCAGACATTTTATGCATTGCAGCTTCTAGAGTCCCTCATTTCCCACACCCATCTCAAAACTAACTAACAACCCTCCCCTTTCATATATAACCCACTTGTTCTCCCTTCAAAGTTCAAACCCATTCCACTTCAAATCATAACCAAATCATAACCCAAAGCAAAAATGCCACCGTTCGCAGGCTCTCTCCTCCAATCGCAACCAAGATCAGACTCCAACATAATCACCATCGACGTCGGTGGCCAAATGTTCCAAACCACTAAACAAACATTGACCTCAGCTGGCCCTAAAACCTTCTTCTCTAGAATCTCCCAAACTTGTTCCCCTTTCACACCTTTCATCGACAGAGACCCTGAAATCTTCTCTCTCTTCCTCTCTCTCCTCCGCACCGGTAACCTCCCTTCCAAAGCCAAATCCTTCGACCTCCATGACCTCATCGTCGAGTCCCGGTTCTACGGCATCGAAAATCTCCTCGTTAATTCCTTCTCCAATCCCTCTCAGTTAGAGCCTTTCAATCTCCAGAAATCGCTTCACTTGCCGTTAAATGGAAGAGACTCTCCTTCTGTCATCGCAACCACCCCTTACGGTTCTCTTCATGTTTCTCACGGTAGCAAGATTACAACGTTTGATTGGTCGCTTCGTCGGAAATCTACTATTCTAACGCACTTCACCGCGGTTGATTCTTTATTAGCTTTATCTCCGTCGCTCGCCGCTGCCGGTGCTAATGACTTCTCCGGCCTGCAGATTCTCGATTTGGAAAAGGGTTATGTTAAGGAGACACTTAATTGGGAGAACGTGACAAAATCGGGATCCACCGTTCAAGCTATTGGATCCTCCCCGGAGAATATGTTCGTCAGCTTTGAATCCTCCCGGAGAAACTCGAATTCTATAGTTGTTTATGATTTGAATAGCTTGAGGCCCGTAACTGAAATTGGCCACAATGAAATCTACGGCGCCGATATTGATTCGGCCATCCCGGCGACGAAGTTGCAGTGGATTGAAAGTCAGAATCTGTTAATGGCGTCGGGGTCTCACAGCGGTCCTTCCGGTGTTTCCGGTAATATTAGGTTATGGGACGTTCGCTCCGGCGATATTGTGTGGGAGATTTCCGAGAAAGTTGATTGTTTTGCCGATGTAACAGTTTCTGATTCATTGTCTGCTATGTTTAAAGTCGGTGTGAATTCCGGTGAAGTGTCTTATTTGGATTTGAAGAACTTGGGTTCTGAGAAAAACTCATGGGTTTGTTTAGGTGATAAGAGAAAAGTACTGAATGGCAAAAAAGAAGGGTTCGGTTGCAAAATTGAAACACAAGGGAATCAAGTGTTTTGCAGTAAAGGCGGCGACGTAGAGCTGTGGTCGGAGATTATAATGGGTTCTTCTAATGACAGGATTTTCAAGAAGAATTTGATGGGGAGAGGACAAGATATTGGAGGTGCTAAGATTACCAATTTGGCATTTGGAGGAAGTAGAATGTTCTTGACAAGAAAAGATTTGCAATGTGTTGAGGTTTGGCAGAGTTCTTCAAGGGAACTTTGAGTCTGAGATGTTGATTATATTCTTTTTTTATTCATTTGTTATGAAAATATAGTTAGGAAGAAGATTCAATCTTGTACATTTTTGTTAAGTTGAAAATTGTTTTAATCTCTTTCTCACAGTGAAAATGCTGAATTTCAAATGGACTATTTTAGCACAATTTAACTTTAGTATCCTCAAATTTATACCATTTCAACTACAACATTGATTCACTCACACACTATAGAAGACTTGTGGTCTCAATGTAACAGTATTTTCAAAAATCCTTAATCAGATGCTGTCATTATTTGGGTTGGTTGGCCAGTTTTTGTTAAAAGAATGATAAAGATTGGTGGTAGGTATACTTGGAAAAATGAGTGAATTAGATAGTAGTTGTGTATTGTTTGCTTATAGGGTATTAGTTGGAAAGGGGAGGTTAAGGGTGTCTGCCACCAAATCTGTTTATCTGCTTCTAATGAAGATTCAAATTAGAAAAATATGTATCTGCAAGAAGTACATAACTTCAACATCTTAAGTGCCTTTTGCATACCTCTCCCTCCCCCTTCTTTGTTCGGATAAATTCAAGTTATGATTGAGTCTCAGCTGCTTCTATTGTGTATAAGTGCGCACGTTACATAATGGATATTTGTTGGTGGTACATTAGAAAATGGATTAAAAAAATGAATCTCTTATTAATTTAAATATTACATACCTTACGATATAAATAAGTCATTGAAAATAAAATAGAAAACTATTACAAATAACACATTTGTTATATTTAAAATATTGGGTGCTACAATGAGGCTCTGAAAAAAAATTGTGTCATTTGTGAAGAATTCACCAACGAAATGAGAACATGCTGATGTGGGTCATAACAATCTAGAAAGAACAAATTGGAGAGAATAATTTTGACTTGGAATGAGAAAATATATACCTCTTGTGGCAGCTATACGATATGCCAGGATTCGAGGAAAACATTATAATTCACAAGTTTTCTCACTTTCATTTAGTCAAGTTGGTATCTCAAAGAAAATGATGCATGTGCAAAACAAAGGAGGTGATCGGTAGACAAAGAGGACATGAAATTGAAGGACACTAGTTTCATAAAAGAGATCAAGTCTTCCACCAAGATGGAAAACATAATAATAGTGAGGAAATTGTTGGTGCAAAGGTAGAATAAATGATTAATAGAGAAATATTCTATTAAGAGAATAACGGCTACACACACTCACACAAATTGCAATGATTGCTACCCTATTTATAAGCTAACACTAAGGTTACTAGAATAAGATAAAAAATACTAAAATACCCTCTAACAAACTTGGGGGCTAAGAAAATAGTACAATTAATAAATATGAATTACTTCTAATACCATCCCTTAATTCATATTCCATCAAAACTTGTAACACCAATCTCATCCCTTAGTCTGAGAAATTGATCAGTCTTGATAGCTTTCGTCAGAACATCTGCCAACTGTTTCTGAGTGCTGCAGTGTACAACTTCTAACACTCCACTCTGAACTTGATGTCTCAGAAAGTGATATTTGGTCTCAATATGCTTGCTTCTCCCATGCAACACTGGATTTCTGGCAAGATTGATTGCAGACTTGTTGTCAATCATCAGCTTCAGAGGTTTGTTTATTTTGATCTTCAGATCCTGCAACAGATTCAGAATCCACGCAGCTTGGCATGCAGTAACAGCACCTGCAATGTATTCAGCTTCACAGGTTGATAACGCCACAACAGGTTGCTTCTTGGAACACCAAGAAATGGGACCTTCCAGAAATTTGAACAAGTACCTAGAGGTACTTCTTCTGTCAACTTTGTCTCCACACCAATCAGAATCTGAATAACTCAGAAGTTCTGACTCATCCTTTCTTCCAGAAGGAAATAACACTCCATACTTCAGAGTTCCTTTGATATACCTCAGAATCCTGCCAGCAGCTTGGTAATGGGATCACTTAGGTTTACTCATGAACCTACTAATCATCCCAACAGAATAGCAAATATCAGGTCTGGTATTGCACAAATACCTCAGAGAACCAACCAACTGTTTGAAGGTTGTAGCGTCCACATCCTTTCCATCAGAGTCAGAATCCAGTTTCTGATTTGTATCAGAAGGTGTGACAACAATCTTACAATTCTTCAGTTCAAATCTCTTCAGAAGTTCTAATTCATACTTGAGCTGATGCAAAATGATACCTTTCTCAGAATATCTGAACTCCATCCCTAGAAAGTATGTCATTTTGCCTAGATCAGTCATTTCAAATTCATTCATCAGAACTTTCTTAAACTTAGCTATCTCCTGTTCAGAACTTTCAGTCAGCAGTATGTCATCAACATATAAACACACCAGAGTCATATTGCCTTCAGAAGTATGTTGAACATAAACACTGTACTCCATCTCACATTTCTGAAAGCCTTGCTTCTTGAAAAATGAATCAATCTTCTGATTCCAAGCTCTGGGCGCTTGTTTCAATCCATATAGAGCTTTGTATAATCTGTACACCATCCCTTCCTGATTCTTTTTCACAAATCCAGGGGGTTGTGACACGTAAACTTCTTCTTCTTCTAATAGACCGTTTAGAAATGCAGATTTTACATATAAATGCATCAGAGGCCAATTCCTGTTAGCAGCTATTGCAATCACCATTCTGATTGTTTCATGTCTTGCTACAGGTGCAAACACTTTAGAGTAATCCAGCCCAGGTTTCTGTAGAAATCCTCTGGCTACCAACCTTGCTTTATGTTTGCCAATTGAACCATCTGGCTTTAACTTCTGCTTAAAAACCCATCTGACTTTGATGGCTTTCTTGTCTTTTGGAAGTTCTGTCAGCTTCCAAGTCTTGTTTCTCTCTATAGCATCAAGTTCTTCTTTCATGGCCTTCAGCCAGAGCTTCTGCTTAAGAGCCTCTTCTGTACTTATGGGTTCAGAGTCTACTATCATGGCACACTGAATAACTTCTCCTTCAGATTCTACTTCAGTGTCTTGCAGCATGTCAAATTATGCATATCTTCTGGGGACGTTTCTGATTCTTTGTGGTCTCTGAACTTGTTCAGAGTCTTGAGCTTCAGATGATTGACTTCCTCCAGAGCTTTGACCATCTTCAGGGTCTGGCATATTTCCAGAGTCTTGAACTTCAGAATTTCTAGCTTCAGAGGCTTGACTTCTTCCAGAGCCTTGGCCATCTTCAGAGTCTGAATTGCCACCAGAGTCTGGATCATCAGAGTCACCTTCATCTTCTGAGTCTTCTCCAGAGTCTGAATCAATATCAGAGTCAGAGTCAACGTCAAAGTTTATTCCAACTTCAGAAATTCTTAACTCTGACCTTTCTTCAGAAGTTCTGACATCAGAATCAGATTGAGACTTATCCCAATTCCAAACTTCTGATTCCTTCACAATCACATCTCTGCTGAATTCAATTTTATTGGTTTCTGGACAATAGAGCTTGTATGCACCTATACTGTGGTACCCTATCAGAATCATCACTTTGCTTCTATCATCCAGCTTCTGTCTTCTGACTTCTGAAACATGTTTATAGCAAACAGAACCAAACACCTTCAGATGACTAACATTTTGCTTATCTCCAATCCACTTCTGTATTGGAACTATTTCCTTCAACTTCTTCGTAGGACATCGGTTGAGTACATACGTTGCAGTGGCAACAACTTCTCCCCAGAGCTTCTGAGGAAGCTTCTTTTCCTTTAGCATGTTTCTCACCATATCAAGCAGAATGCGGTTTCTTCTTTCAGCAAGACCATTGTGTTGAGGGGTATAAGGAGCAGTAACCTCATGCTCAATTCCATTCTCCTCACAGAACTTCTGGAATTCTTTAGAGTTATACTCACCTCCACCGTCAGTTCTAAGAATCTTTAACTTCTGACCACTCTGATTCTCAGCCTTCATTCTGAACTTCTTGAATTCATCAAACACCTCGTGTTTAAACTTAATAAGGGATACCCATGTCATTCTTGTGAATTCATCAACAAACAACACAAAGTATTTATTCCCTCTAATTGATGCTACTGGAAATGGACCACACACATCAGAATGTACAACTCCCAAGGCATGTTTTGCTCTTGGAGCAGCTTCTGACGCAAATGGCAATCGTGGTTGTTTTCCTTCCATGCAAACTTTGCATGACTTTTCAGGCTTCTTAATTGCAGGAATTCCATGTACCAACTTCTTTGAATTCAGATGTTTTAAGCTTCTGAAATTCAAATGACCAAATCTTTTGTGCCACAGCTCACTCTCCTTCTCAGCACTTGTTGCACTAAGACATTCTGAGTCTGCAGTTCTGACATTCACCTTGAATGTTCTATTCCTTCCCTGTTCTGACTCCATAATCAACTTCTGATTGTAGTCATACAGCTTCAGAAGATTGTCCTTCATGGTAACTGAAAAAACTTTCTCAATTAATTGTCCCACACTCATCAGATTGCTTCTGATGCCAGGTACATACCACACATTCTGAATCAATGTTGTTTTCCCATTGTTCGGAATCACTCTAACATTTCCCATATCTTCTGCATTAAGATATTTGTCATCAGCACATCTGATCTTTGTTCTCTTTTTAGAGTCAAAGTCAACCATCCATTTCTTGTTTCCAGTAAGATGATTTGCACAGCCAGTGTCCATATACCACCAGTCTATCAGATCCATATTATCAGATTCAGAGGCCATCAATAACACAGATTCGTCATCAGAACTTCTGGCTATATTTGCTTCTTCTGATTTTCTCTCCTTGTTTGACCAACAATCTCTAGCAAAGTGACCAAACTTCTTACAACAGTAACATTGGATCTTTTTCTTGTCATACTTCTCTTTTCCCTTCTGAGCATTCTTTTGTCTATCAGAGGTTGAGCTTTCTGACTTCTGACCACCATCAGATCTTCTCCTGGCTTCTAACTGCTTATGATACCTCCTATCAGAAGTTGCTTTCAGAGCCTGCTGCTCTACTTCCTTTTCAGAGGTTCTCTCAGTCAAACGCAACTCTTGCGCTTCTAGACTGCTCTGCAGCTCTT